CAGATAAAGTCGTGTCTTATTTATACTCTGTTCTACTGACAACAGGCCAGCGAAAAATCTAACAATCTACAGCAAAACCATCAATTATTATGGGCGTTATAACATAGGTGTGCAGCTGAACGAAACATACACGTCGAACCCCCCCAGACGATTTAAATCCCTGACGAAACATACACGACGAACCACGGCAACGGGTTAAATTTACCTAATCCTTCCAGCCGCACTATGGCCCTGGGGTCAACTCAGCCTCTAACAGAAATGAGTACCAGAAATATTCTTGGGGGTAAAGGGCGGCCAGCATGTAAGGCTGATGACCTTACTGCCATCTATGAGCCGATTTTCTAGAAAATGTGGGAACCTCAAAATCTCTCAACCCTATGGGCCTCCACGGCCTGTTACAGGGTTACCTTTACTTTTTACGTTATGAGTCCACAAATAGTTTTGTTCCTTCAAATGATCAAACCAACTAACTCCATGGAGCTGAGCCCTTCTTGAGAAGCTGGTGGTTGTGCAGCTGCTCACAAATTTTCCAACATTTTATGAAACCCAAAGGTTCATTACCGCAGTGACAGCAGCCCTCTGCTAGTCTCCAGTAACAATCTTGTTAAGCATATCTTCTTCCTTTACCTATCATAAGAGATCTTGCAAATACAGACTCATTCAGCGGCCTCCGTAGTCTAAAGATAACGTTCCCACCTCATGACTCGTAGTACGCGGGTTCAAATACCCAGCGGAGGTCATCAAATTTTTAAGGGCGGAAAAATTCAGGGAACAAGTCCTCCGGGAGGGACTTTAAGCCGTGGGTCCTGTGTCGTAGCTTTACGGCACATAAAAGAACCTCATATCTCCAAAGGAGGTCACTGAGCCAAATTAACAGACGTTTCCCGCCCAACAGCAGTCTCTAATACCTCTGGTAGATGGGGGAAGCATTATAGATACCTCTCAGCTAGTAGAGCCGGTCTCGCTGGCTGGGCGGGACTGATGGTAAGCACCAGTACCGGTAGGATATAGAGACTGGTAGAAATCATAGAGGGAAGCACAATGGACCAATACAGGTCTCAGTGCATGGGGAAACCCACCCTCTCCAATAACTAACTAACTACAGACTCATTCGGTTTATTTTTTCTCAGTCTTTCAGTTCTTTGGGCACCCATCGTGTGTACATTTTCTGAAACTTGAAACTGTCATGCATTACATTGTGTGCTAAGCAATGGGAACCACCTAGTGCAATTACTACACTGTATGTTGTTACCCTCCTCTCAGCTCAAATCAGCTCTTCCACCCATCCCACAGTTGCTTTTATTGCCATCTCAACAGGGTGACCTGGTTGAACATCATCTGGAGCTTTGAACGTCCTTCAGAGAATTTCTCAGCCCAGTTGTGAATCACTTTATGTGACAAACACTTCCCACCATAAACAGAAAACATTTCTTTATGAATATCCTTTGCAATGAGTCCTTTTGCCCACAAAAACTGCACAGCAGAATTCTTCTCTTCAGTAGTATAACCTCAAGCAGTCATTAATTTGACTACTGAAACCATCCTCTTAACATGCACATGCACATCTGCTACCTAGGCTCTCATGAAGCTGGACTGTGCTGCTACCTAGTGATGCACATAGAAAACATATCACATCCATTACAGCTGTTTTACTTCCATTTATGACCTATTTACTGATTCTCCTTTGCAAAAACTGCTGTCAGACCCTTTGAAAATGTGACACAGTTCAAATATTTGGGAACAACAGTGACAAATCAAAATTTGATTCAGGAAGAAATTAAGGAGTGATTGAATTTGGGTAATGCTCGCTACTGTTGAGTGCAGGGGCTTTTGTCTTCTTGCCTGCTGTCTAAAAACATAAAAATTAGAATATGCAAAACTATAATTTTTCCTGTGGTTCTGTATGGGTGTGAAACTTAGTCTTTGTCATTAGGAGTGAAGGAGTGAAGACTGATGGTGTTTGAGAACGATGCTGAGGAGAATATTTGGACCAAAGAGTGGTGTCCTGCATAGCGCGACACGTCACACTGCTCCCTCCTTAAGGCTTTTCATCCCAAATAGCACCCCCGTTCATTTGTCTTTGGAGGCTGTTCTTGCAGCATCTGTTCTCTGGCCGTTACAATATTTCTGTCACATTTATGTTAAGGACAGTTCACAGTGAAATATGGCATGATATAAATTCAGTAAAATGTTTGTTCACATTTGTGTTGCAGTGTCTTCTATGTCTTTTATGAGCAGTACTTAACAATGTGGTCTGACACACTGTTCAGTCTTGGAGTTTCATTAGCGGCTATTTTTGGGGTGACATTCCTTTTGATGGGTCTGGACATTTCTTCATCCATTGTGGTGATTATTACCATCACAATGATTGTGGTGAACATTGGAGGCCTCATGTACTGGTGGCACATTACATTAAATGCTGTCTCTCTTGTCAACCTTGTAATGGTGAGTACATTCAAATCATTCCTGAAAAGTGTGATTGGAGTTTTTGTGTTGGATTTATTCCACATAGTATGATTTTATATTCATTAAGTGGCTCTTGTTTCATTTTAGTAGTAAGTTATTCAAAGAATTGTTTGGTCAGTATATTGACTAGGCTATAAGCTGGATGACCAAGGTTTTAGTCCTTGCAGGGGCGAGGATTTTTATCTTCACCTCTGTGTCCAGTTTGGCTATGGAACCCACCGAGCCATATATCTGGTGTGTTGGGTTTATTTTCCAAACGGGCTACACAGCTGCATACATCTCATGCACCTTCATGGTGTGGTGCTTAATAAAGCACAGGAATATGTCTTCGTGGAATTTTGCTCAATTAAGAAATTTTTGTCATTCGACTTTACCAATTGAAGCTGATATAAATACAATTGCACTTGTTAATAAGAATTTGATCACATTGTAGAACCAGAGTTAGAAAAATTCAAGTATGCAGACATGAGAACATTGAAATAAGAAACTGATTACCAAAAATCCTCTAAACTGTATTTATACTCATTATGATTCAGTTTTGAGAGTTCTGAAATGGAGTGTGTTAACTGACAGTCAGTGATGGGAGTCTCATAATAATACTACAGTAGTTGGTATTGTTGTGTTGCAGATTGTAATGCATTATTTCATGTGTAGTATACTGCTGTTAATTTTGCAGGCTGTTGGCATTTCTGTGGAGTTTTGTAGTCATCTTGTACATTCTTTTGCTGTGTCAGTAAAGGAAACTAGAGTAGAGAGAGCTGCAGATTCACTAACAAGCATGGGAAGTTCGGTAAGTCGGAGTCCAAGGATGTCCACACACATACCAAATTGCTGGTGACAGCAATAAAATTTCATTGTAGCAGTTACCTATAATTATGTTCCGCGCCATAGCTCAAGCAGTTAGTCGCTGGCTTCCCACCGCGGAGGCCCGGGTTCAATCCCAGGTCTGGTCAAGTGGGATTTGTGGTGGACAAAGTGGCGCTGGGGCAGGTTTTCTCCAAGTACTTCGGTTTCCCCTGCCAATCTTCATTCCACCAATTGCTCCACAATCACCCTCACCTATGATCTGGGGCTGGTACAATAGGCCAGAAGTGGCCGCAGTACAAGGGACTTAGTCCCACCCCACTAGCATTAAAAAAAAACTACGAGTGATATAACAGAATACATTAACCTATACATTTAGGCATAGGCTAAAATTGAATTCAGCCTTGATCTTTTATAACTTATTTTTGGCAATTGGGCAGGCATATTTCTGGAGTTCTGCTTCTTATAAATTTCATACATGAAGCTGATTTTCTGTAGTTAATTGGGTGGAACATGAAGCTTTATGCCCACTTCTGATGCCAAGGTCTGCAGGGCTTTTTCTTTACTTTGAAGCTGTTATGAATTTTACCAAACGATGTTGGAGCCCTGCACAGATGGCATTCAGGTTACTCACACATTAAGTGGAATGTTTTATAAGAAAGGATGTATTTTTTATGTACAAATATAAATCACTCCGTCCAATGTGACCTGTAAGTTTTTTACTACATGAAAACTTAACACCCTTGCATGTTTCGGTCTCTGTGGACCATCTTCAGAGGGCAAACATCACTACAAATAGGAAACCACCATCACATAAGTTGTTTAGACATAAAGTACGTACACTTATATGCTACAATGCATACTACACAAAATAGAACATTTCACAAACACAGCAATTTCCTGGGAATGTAAAGTTTTTAAAAAAATTATATAAAACTTTACATTCCCAGGAAACTGCTGTGTTTGTGAAATGTTCTGTTTTGTGTACTATGCATTGTAGCATATAAGTGTACGTACTTTTACGTCTAAACAACTTATGTGATGGTGGTTTCCTATTTGTAGTGATGTTTGCCCTCTGAAGATGGTCCACAGAGACCGAAACATGTAAGGGTGTTAAGTTTTCATGTAGTAAAAAACTTACAGGTCACATTGGACGGAGTGATTTATATTTGTAATTGTTAGTGTGACGGACCAGAATGAAACAAATCAAACTTATTTTTTATGTGTTTGTACTCTTTACAGGTTTTCTCTGGAATCACCCTAACGAAATTTGGAGGCATTCTGGTTTTAGGGTTTGCAAAGTCTCAGATCTTTCAGGTATTCTACTTCCGCATGTATCTTGGCATTGTGCTTTTTGGAGCAGCTCATGGGCTCATTTTCCTGCCAGTACTTTTAAGTTATATTGGTAAGTATTGTTACCAATCTGTTGAACAGTTTTGTATTTAACGTTGTGGTGGTCCATTACATGCACTTGATATGATTCCAATTGGCACGCTGAACTGCATATATAAGTGTAGATCACATAATCTGAAGATATGGAACTCGTAACGGTAGGTGTCAGGTCGCTGCATGCATTAGATCCCATGTAGGAGCAGGAACATGACTAGCAGAGGAAATACATGAATTCTTGTCATAAACCCAGTATATGTTCTGCGGAAAACAAAATTTTAGTCAAGATGGTATAAGTTCTGTGCTGTCTCCAGCCACTCCTACTCTTCCTCTGAACTTCCCTTCAGAATTAATCTAAATTCATAAGTGGGTGTGCTTGGCTATCAGTTTTAATTTTGTTTTGAATTTACATTGTGTATGTGTAACTTGAAATATTGCATTAGTTTCATATTTTACCTGTTAAAGAGTTAAAGGTTTGGAACTGTCACACAAACGCGAGTTTCTTGTATTTTATTTCTAAATACAGAATGCATATTTTGACTAAACAGTCATCATCAGGCAATATATGTATCAGTTGAAAGTGTCTGTTGTAAGTGTAAATTTGTTGAAACGTGATGTATATAAAATGTGGAGAGAGACCTTAGGTCGAACTGACGTAATTTTAGACGGACATATGTATAAAGTTGATGGCACCTGTCCCGGTTCTCACATTCACATTTGTTTTTAAGTTGCGAGATATTCATGAAATGTGTCAGGTTCATGATGTGGTACATAGATGGGACACTTCAAACTTATATTCTATACTTTTCTCTTAAGCATGCAATCTCCTTCACTAAATGTAAGCCAGACAGTAGCTATGTTGTAACCTAATTTTGAAATACAGAGCACTCTTTTTGGCATTCTCCTGTTTGAGTAGCCTGGGGGAGTTATTAAATTTGGTTGGATTTTGCAGTTAGATAAACTTCGGTAGGTAAAGGATGGAGTTTTTCTGAGGGTTGGAGGCTGACCTGAAAGTTATATAAAAGGGTACTAAGTTTTAGAGGTTCTAAGTAGGTTACTATTGTTTGAAAGTAAGGACTGACTTGCTGACAGCATAATGTATGTCCTTGAAGTTGGCATCTGTATACATTTGGAGAGTCACTGATAGGTACACTAAAGTTGATGAGGGGAGTGGATTATGTGTCTGGTGGTTGTCTGGTAGGTTATCATATACTTAACAAAGTTAATGATGTTGACATAGCAAACAACATTGTATTTGTTGTCTGGATATGTGAAATTGTTATGAATGTGACACACACCACCAGCATTACAGAATGGAGGGCAAGCATGAAACTACTTTCCACACCAAGAAAGGACAAACTTTAAAGCTAGTGGCCTGATTCCCCACATTGTCATGAGAGTGACTGTAAAACTATGGACTAGCTATTTTCATAGGTTGCATCCTGTTGTGTGTCACAGACAATATATAATATGTAGGAACTATGCTACCGCCAACACAACAAATATTTCAGTTATTACATTAGATCCTTACTACTGCTTAACATGTTTCGATCATACATGACCATCATCAGGCAGGAATGCATATAGTTATTGAAATACCGATACGGATCCTTATCGGTGCAACGCGTCATATGGAATATTAATAAAAGTAACAAAAATCTAATGTAATAACTAAAATATTTGTTGTGTTGATGGTGGCATATTGTATGGACTAGTTGTAAGTAATAACTAAAATATTTGTTGTGTTGATGGTGGCATATTGTATGGACTAGCTGTATTTGAGGGGTGTTTATTCATTAATTTGCCATCTGTTAGCCTGTTGATTAGTGTGTGCGCACACATTTAATTAATATGTTACAACACTCCTGGGTATTTTTTTTTAAGAAGTGAAACGTTACAGGGACAGATAGAGCTTTAAAATTTCTGCAAATGATAATTAGTGGATAATGGTCACATGTATAGTGGATTGTTAAACTCATTGCCATACAGATTTAAATTAGCTATTTATATTGACTGTGACTGTGCTAGGCTGAATTTTCAAATGTTCAGCATGGCAGAACATATTTAATTTTATTGTATTCTACAACATTAAAAAAATATGATCTTGAAAGTTATCAGAGATATTTTCACTATGAAACTACAGTTGTAATACATGTTAGAAATAAATATTTGTCAGGCCATTATAATCCTTTTTGAAATATCTGTTATAAAGATCTCTTACTTGTATATCAGGACCCTTGAGCACAGTCATGTTAACACTTCGCAGACCGGTGATTTAAATATTTAAATCACCCTGGGGACCAGCATTTTTAAACATACTACCCTAACTTGTGCACCGTTCACTTTAAAAATTAATATAAAATCTCCTAATTAATTTTTTGAATTAAAATTTTTGTAGAACACTTACCGATGCTCCTAGAAGTGCTTGAGGGTGTGATATTTCTGGAAACATTCCCCTTTGTGAAGTGGCATTACACAGAACTTGCAAATGTAGACATACTCCTTTTTTTTGTGAACTGTGCAAACACGGCATTGCCTAGAAGTATTCTTCCCCTTGGAATGTTCACTCTTCACAATTTTCATGAGGGTACTTTTCCGCATAGCACTCAAAAAGTCGCCCTGGGAGGTCCACATGAGGCCTTCGTGGGGTGGGAGTTGATGGGTCGTACTAAGTCTCTGTGTGACCCTGGTTCTGCCGCCACCATCTGGACTGTAGCCCAGGCCTTGGCCACATTCATCAGAAATGCTTTGTATTTCAATTTTGAATAAGGGTTTAGATTTTTTTTTAGATTTTTTGCTGTCCCCACAATGTTATTACCCACATTATCGTCGGAGCTACTGTCACTTTTACTGTCTGTGGCCACAATTCTTTGTTGTCCCCCGTCACTGTCGCTGTCTGAATGACAATCCATTACTACGCATCTCACAAGGCAGGTCAACTAGGTCATCGGAGGAGAGTTTGTCCTTGATCCATTCTCCCCACTAGCTACTGGCTGATACAACTTGAAGAAGGCAAAGCATTTTCCTTTAGAGTCGGTTGGTTAATTAGTTATTGGAGAGGGTGGGTTTCCCCATGCACTTAGATCTGTCTTGGTCCATTGTGCTTCCCTCTATGATATTCTGCCAGTCTCTATATCCTACCGGTACTGGTGCTAACCATCAGTCCCGCCCAACCAGCAACATCGGCCTCTACTAGCTGAGTGGTATCTATAATGCTTCCCCCATCTACCAGAGGTATTAGAGACTACTGTTGGGCGGGAATCATCCATAATTTTGCTCAGTGGCCTCCTTTGGAGACATGAGGTTCTTTTACGTGCCGTAAAGCTACGACACGGGACCCACGGCTTGAAGTCCCTCCTGGAGGACTTGTTCCCTGAATTTTTCCACCCTTAAAAATTCGACCTCTGCCGGGTATTTGAACCCGCGTGCTATGAGTCATGAGGTGGGAACGTTACCTCTAGACTATGGAGGCCGCTTAGAGTCGGTTAAGTAAACAGCGAGGTCAAGTTACTGACTGCTAACTAAACATTCCAGAGTCTTATCATGCATCTGCAGGTGGTTGCGTGCAATGTAGGTGGCGCCAGAGCGATGTAAAGTGTGTTGCAACTTATCGTGTTCTAAAAACCTGTTAACACGCGAATGGTCCACCATGTTTAAAAACGAACAACCTTTTAAAGGGCGCGCGGTCCGCAAAGTGTTAATTAAATGAAATTAAAACTTGCGAACTTCTTTGATGACTTTAAAGAAAATCTCTCCTAATTACTGTTACTAGCACATAATGTGTATACCTTTGTTTTCTATTAAAGAAATTGTTTCTCTCCTCATTTTAATAAGATTGAAGCATGCTACTTATTAATGTCTGGTGATGGGTCTCAATCATGTGACAGTGAAGTTTTTTCTTTCTCATCCAAGTGTGTTTACTCCTCCCAGGTTCTCCCATGAACAAAGTCAAAGTGGCCAACCACGAGAGACATCTGCAGCGGCTGCAGATTCAGGATAATGCTGCTTGTGGGGAAACTTCATTAAATAGAGTAAGCATCAGCAAGGGGAAGGGAGGGTCGGAGACAGCCGACTTAGGGATGTGGTCGCCTCACTCACAACTCCCGGGAAGGTAGGGACTAGGGAGATGGCAGCAAGAGCCATGATTGTTTTAATGTTGAACCTTCTGACTAGTACTCTTGCTACACAGTTGATTTTTTCCTCACAGTATCCTGATTCTCTTAAAATAACACACAGATTTCTCTTGCTGGGCTAGAGTATTGGTGAAGTGTATTTCTCTGGTAGACAGTCTAACATCCTGTGGAATTCATGTCAGCTGAGTCATGTCAACTGAAATGAGAAAGATGTTCCAGTTTCTGCCTAATTTTGAATATTGTGACTAACTATAACAGAGAGTGGTCCCATTGTTAAAGTCTTGGATATTCAAGATAGCCTATTCTAAAATAGTACTTCGGTGTTTTAAAACATAATTGTCACTTTGTTATTTTGTGAATCCTGAAGGTTTTTTTTCTGGTGTTGCTAATATTTATAGGCATTATATGTAAAATTTTACCCCAGCATATAAAGAAGCAATAGATCCAGGCATAAACATGAACCATGAACATTACACCAGCATATAAGTACTGGAACAGATAAAAAGGGAATCCCAATGAAAGCAATGGAAGAGATGCTCAAATACACAAAAACTGAGTACAACAGGATAGAGGATAAAAATGTTTACTTTGTCATTGAGTTTGTTAGCTTTTCATTACATTTAATAATTATGAAATCTGAATATCCCTTTTACTAATTTACATAGCTGTTACTAAGTGTTCCATTTGTTTTATTTTTTGAGGTGCCCCTCATTTTAAAAATTGTTATTTAAGGTACATGGATTCTGAATAGGCTGGAATAGTGGCAAGTACTGTTTCATTTACAGAGCTATTAAGAAAATTTCTACTACATCTTATCCAACTTAGAAAAGGTCATACAGTCTTTTATTTGAGGTGGTTTTATCCATATAATGTATATTTTTCATTTCTGTTTCCCCACATTTGGCTTAATGTGATAAGTTTTCCCCCCAGAGATGACAATGAAAACAATTCATAGTTTAAATTAATTAGACAATGAAGTTTCTTCATTTGTGGTTGTTATAATACAGGCAGTCTAATTGGTAGAAAATTTGGTTTTGTAAAGCATACAGACTGGGAAAGTGCTTACAAGCAAATTGTTTGGAACATAACAGTATTTAAAGTAAACATCTCAGGGTGTAGATTTGATTATGAATGAAACTGTTGAAACTGCTGGCATTTCAGTAACTTCAGTCTGTATAAAAGGGAATATCTGTGCAGTAAGGTATAGAGATATGTTATGAAATTTCCATTTTTGCGTAAAAGAAAGTCTTAACACCTCTGGTTGTTGGTAAGAGGTGCTTGTAATTGCATATTGGCATGTGCTTTGTAACTGGGCAGCTTTTGTTTTCCTACTTCATGTTGCAGTACCACAAAAAAAAATGGTCTTTTTTTAAATGTCACATAAGCTGTTAAATGTCCTTTGCAGTTATGAACACCTGCCTTGGATTTGTCATATTCACATCTATATACTTGTGGTGGAAAATCTGAGACATCTTTTGCATACCATAATTTCCACATGGTCTCTTGCCCATCCTAACCTGTAATATGCCATATTGTCCATTGTTTGGGCGGTTGGGGGGGGGGGTGTTATTGTATTGTATTGGGAATGATGTTTATTGCTATTGCAGTGATACCTCTGTTTAAGGTTTCTTTGGGGACTGGTGGATTTGAACACCAAGCTAAAGAAAATCTTAAACAGAGGCAATTTTACATTGAGTTTTACTCGGGATCTTTGAAATTGGACTGAAATAAATTAAAAGTCCTAGCAATCTTTGACATCACTGGAAGCTGACTGATGGAGGAAGAGTAAGAGAACCTTCAGCAAGCTAGTTCGGTTAGATTATACTGAGGGCATGTGATGGCTTTCATACAGAAGGTCTTAGGCTTCAGACCAACCAGATATAGTGCAGATCTACACTCTTTTGAAAACCTGTGAGAAAATTCAGTCAGGACCCACAATCTTTCAGGTCTCACATTAAGCTGTAGGTCACTGGATGCTGCCGTCAGAAATGTGGATACATACCTTCACTGTTACAAGGCAGGCAGAAGGCAGGATGGTCAAGGGCCATACCTGAAAACATTCTACAACAGATTACACTAAAGTCAAATCTCCACATTGCAGTTTGTGCTTTTCCATCATGATTTTGGAGAATTTGTTGTCGGCTTCATTTATACAAAACAGAATTTAGACCATACTATGATAAATACAAATGTAATTGTATTCGTATTTGTACTGTTATGGGTCATAATTATTTACATCAACCATCTATCCTGTTATCACAGCATAAGTCAAAAAAACTACAACTCCATCCAGTGTAGATTGAGTGGGAAAATTTGTTTTTCTTGTGTCAGTACCATAAGGAATATTTCATCTCTCCAGTGATGATTTCTGTCTTTGATAGTTCTCTGGTGCAAGGAGACTTTAATATTCTGATGTTCTGTCTTAGCTCTTGCAAATGATTTGTGCTGTCCTTGGCTTGTATACCCCATCCCGGTGGTGGTACAAGTGTCTGGAGATAGAGATTAGCTCTATCAGTTGAGCCCAACAAAGTAGATTTTACCTGAAGCTGGAGACAAAATCCAGTCTCCAAAATGTTGTTTTGAAATATAAACAGGATGACGTTTTTAGATAAAAAAAAAGGACAATAGAAAATGTCAGGAACATAATATTTTAACAATCTGTTAAATATAACATTGTTATATTGGCTTCATTTCATCCACCATTTGTTTCGCATTTGGCATTGTCATCTTCAAGTGGATTAACACAGTATACAGTAACATTTTTTTAGTCATGATTATGTAAATCATGCAACTAGCATACAGGGTGTCCAGATGAAAGGTTTATGAAATAAAATAACTCAGCATTTATTACAAACATTTATGGGTTACACCATTGTAAAGGGAAACTATCAAAGTTGTTTTTCTGAGTATATAACTTTCTTAATAAGTTGCAGTGTGGGCTCCCTTGGTGGAACAACTAATATCCGGACAATATTCAACCTCATTCCACGTTGCTTGGAGCAAGTTTGGTGTTACCATGGCCACATTGTCCCTTATGTAGGCTTTCAGCTGTTGAAGGTCGTTGATCTTAACCAGGTAGACAGTGTTCTTCACATAACCCCACAAGAAAAAATCCAGTGGGGTTAAATGTGGCGACCTAAGAGCCAAGCGATTGGTCCACTTCTGCTGATCCATCCCAGCCATCTCTCTGTCCAGGTGATTCCTAACATGACGGCAGAAATGTGCCGGCACCCAATCTTGTTGGAGGGTAGTTTGAGGTGGTAATTGGGGCAGCACATAAATTTCCAGCATGTCTAAGTATGAACATCTGGTCACAGTCTTTTTCAAAAAGAAAAACGGTCCAGTCAACTTGTTATGCATTAAGCTGACCAACATGTATAGTTTTGGGCTGCCTCTCTCCAACTCACACGTGACATGTGGATTTTGACTGCCCCAAATCTTGTAGTTATACTTGTTTACAACTCCATTGACATGGAATGTTGCCTTATCCGAGCACACTTGGCGAAGGAAATTAGGTGACACATCAGTTCTTTCTAGTATGTCCACAGCAAAGTTTGTGCATGCTACTTGGTCAGTCGGTTTTAGTGCATGAATCATTTGAATCTCATACGCTCTTAGGCGGAGCCTTTTGTGTAGCGCATCATGCACCGTTGAACGTGGAATTTGTAACTGCCAGCTAAAAGCACTGATTGATTTGCGCGGACTTCGCTGGAATGCCTCTCTAATGTGATTGACATTTTCTTCAGAGGTACACATGTAGTCCTTAGTTGGTTGTCCCAGAACTGAATGCTTTTCTATGTAGGAGGTTGGTGTCCATATTGCAGTCTAAAACAATCCTGGACAGCTGTAAGAAATGGCAACTCTGCTAGCCACAACTTGCATTGAACCTGTTCCTGTGATGTCAACATCATTACTAAGCTGGTGCACATGCATAAGCGAGGCATGAAGAAAAAACTTGCAGAGTTTTCCTTTCTGACAACATAAACTGGATACATGTATGGCAATTACTTGCTGAGATACAAATTTTCTATTTTGAAAACCTTTCATCTAGACACCCTGTATTTCAGTGATTATGATTTAACTGTTTTTCCAGTTTGGGAAGATAACTTCTATCATATAATTTTATGAACACTTCCTTTCTTTCATTCATTCATTCATTGTATATTCCATAAATCCATATACATAGATATAGAACCAGTCACATAGTTGGTGGTGACATGAACATTTGTATTTAGCGGGTACCAGAAATCCAGACATACCGTATTTGCTACCGGATATCTTTTTTTGCTTTTTCTTTATGTTATCTGTTTACTGTTTCAGGAGTGATGTCTCAGAGATGGGGACGTACCGAAGCCTTTCTGGACACACGTCCACTGAATTCTGCTGACAACAGTGCACCTAGCACATCTCAATCCCCACTTATAGTTGGTCCACTCCCCGGTAACTATGACAGCATTTAGCGGCAGAGCTTTCCCATGGTGCACTTTGCTACAATGGTAGTTAATCTCACTTCACCTGCTCACAATTCAACCCCATAATTGTTACCTACACCTGCATCAGAGGATCAGATACAGTTCAGTTATCAAGCGACATATGTACTATGTGAAAGGAAAACAAATATATCTAGCAAGTTGTGTAAATTCATGAACAGAAGTGGTCCTCCAGTGGAGTTATACTCTGTATCACAGTTCATAGTACTCACTTTCCATAGTTGCTTACTACACAGGTTGGTGGCAGTTGGCACTGTATTGAGTTTCAGTACCATCCCATTCTGTCATGCCTGGAAGGTCATAAAAGTGGATGGAATCTTCCAGTAACCTTATCTGTTCTTTCAATATGCCATGACTGTAGCCTCCAATTAAATAATGTACAGAAAACACCATAGAATCTTACACATTTGTGTAGTGATTCAAGTAATATATGATTCTCAGCCATCTTTCCTTTGAGATTAAACACTATATGAGTGTGATAAGCAGTGGGAAATAGATGGAGACTTGCTTTATGAGCACGGATATTCAGTGAATGCACTACCGCAAGTATCAGTGAAGGACCACACAGTTTGGTGTTTCTGTTTTACATTTTTACTGTGGAGAGCCCCTGAATACAATCAGCAGGTTTTATTGAGAGTTCCTGAATGTAAAACAGTATTTGAGGCTATTAAGCTTACAATTTGAGATACTTTGTAAGCAACAGTGTGCAGTCTGCCTGTCCTTCTGTAGCAGCAGTATTGTAATGATAGTATAAATTTATATCTTTCCATGTAACAGCAGCACACCAGTCCAGTGAAACTGGTGGTTATATTTTACTACAGTTCAGTACGTAAGAAGCCTGCATAATGCAGTGAACATTAATTATATAAAAAGATTTTAAAAATCCTGTTTGTACTTTCTTAGCCAGAAACTCTACCTACTGTGCCTCAGGAATGACTTATATTTGAATAAATGCACATTTCTGATTAGAAGGTCTAATGTTGATATATTTTGCACCTTTCATAATGAAGTTCTGTAGTAACACTGATGAAGGGAGGACTGTAGGATTCAGTAGGTCAGTTATTTTTCTGTTCTATAATTTAATAATTGTTGCAAACGTACTGAAGCTCCTGTTATGAACTTAAGTGATTTTCAACGACTTAAATGATTTTGAAAGCTGTGTCTCTTAACTATATTTGTTATTAGCAAAATGATTCTGTAAGTCTACAATTTAGTTCTTGAAATATATATGTTTAAGGATGGAAAAGTAATACATTGCATAGTTTATATTTTAATTAGTCTGCATAGCAAAAATAAAAAGTGTTTAAGATTTGAGGTTTTCACAGCGGTAACTACGAAGAATGCTGTCTTCTGGGGTGTGGAGCCGTGTATATTGTGTTAACTGATGTTTCAGAAGAATGTATCGCCTCCATCTTCAGGGTATAACAAATCTGCGAGCGAGGAACCAGCATGAGCAGGTGGCTCCAGCTCACACTGGTTCCTTGCTCGTGGATATTTTATGCCTTGAAGATGGAGGCGATACGTTCCTCCGAGATGTCTGTTAACACAATATCTACACAGTGCTACATGCCAGAAGATGGCATTCTGCAAAAGAAGTGTTTCATAAAAATTAGAACATGACCAATCCCAAGTATTCTACGTAGATAAGACCAGGTTTAAGTAATAACACTGAACAAAAATTTGTATCCAATGAGTGTGTTGAGAAAGTGACAATGTTATATAAATTATGTTGCGTGAGATCATAACCATTTTTATCCAGTTCTGTGAATGTCTTTATTTACACTTTTTTTTTTTAGAAAAATTCTGTAAAACTTTGTGAATACTCAAAACTGCATTTTGTATTGCTCTCAAAATTCTAAATCTGATGGAATTGTCTGGAGTTGTATTTATAAGCTTGTATCTGTAGTAACTGTGTATTATGTCTATATGATGAGAATGATGTAAGGATTAATTGTAATAAAACAGAGGAAACAAATTTATGTGTTGCAATCAGTCTGTTGTCACTCTGCATCTTTGACTAACCACTGTGAATACAAAAAACAAACTCCGTGGCCTGTAGTCCACAAGCGAACTATACCGACTGAGCAACTGCTGATTGTCAATGAAGTTAGGACTGCCTCTGTGGTCTAGTGGTCAGACGTCCTGGGTTCTATTCCTGGCAGTACCAAATTTTCTGGAATGGGGTCCACTCAGCCTCGTGAGGATAATTGAGGAGCTATTTCAAGAAAATAGCAGCTCCGGTCTAGAAAACCGAGATTAACGGCCGCAGGGATCCATTGCGCCGACCATACGACACCCTCTAACTGCTAAAGTTGGCACTGTGAATACAAGAAATATTTTATTTAATAAATGATCATAAACATACTTGGTATATCAATAAAAACATCTACACTTCTCAGTTCTTTACTTTTAAGCAGACTCATTTTGAGGCCATTTATGTCACCAGTGTTAGGTTAATAAGCAATTATCACTTGTCACCAACAATTCTGTCAGTTTCATCAAGACTTGATGTTAATCATCAGATAAAAATATGGATTTTAATGTGATAAAACATTACTTCAGATGCCCTAGTAATGATCTTGATTATGATTTATCGAGTACTGTATGTTGTGCGTTCCAGTTCTAAGGTCTCCGATTTTTTTTCTCCCACAATAATCATACAAAAAATTTGAAACTTCTGTCACTTTTCAACGCAATCTCCCTGCAGCCGTACACATTTTTCACAACATCGACGCCATGATTCCATGGCCGCTGCGAACGCTTCTGTAGGAGTCTGTTTTGACCACTGGAAAATTGCTGATGCAATAGCGGATTGAAAAACGGCATCCATGTCTCATCCATTGTCACAGTTGATGAAAAGAAAGTCCCATTGAAGCCTTCATCACATGTCAACATCACCTGGCAAATTGCCATGCGTGCAGCCTTGTGGTCATCCACCAGAATTCGTGGCACCCACCTGGAGTACACTTTCCGCATTCGCAGGTCTTCATGCAGGATTTTGTGCACAGATCCCATGGAAATGCCAACTTTGGAGGCGATGTTTTCCACACTCAATCGGCGATCCTCCAAAACAAATTTCTCAACTCGCTCGACCATGTTGTCAGACCGGGTGGTGTGAGGCCGAGATTGTTTTGGTTCGTTGTCACACGACGTTTGGCCTTCTTTGAACTGTCACGCCCATGAACGCATATTTTTCACATTCATATCACCATCACCACACGTCTCATTCAACTGGCGATGAATTTCAATGCGTGTCGCACCACGCAAGTGGAGAAAACGAATGATTACTCGCTGTTCTTGTAACGAAAACGTCACCATTTTAAGTATCAAAAACACTCCTCACTCTTGCTGCTACCACTAGAGTTCTGTGTGCTGTAGAGTGCTGCCATCTCTGTCACGCATTCACAAAGGGTGCACACATATTTTAAACTAAACCGCATGTGTCTATCTGCTCCCAGTCCTGAGAAAAAAAATCGGAGACCTTAGAACTTGAACGCCCCTCGTATGTTTTGGTTACTACGTTCTGTTTTCAGTATGTAGGCTTGCTATGCTGACATAGTTTTCTTTAGTCCCTGACAGGAAAGTACCTTTAAATAAGCCATTTCTCCCATTTCCTTACCAATTCATCATTCACAGATGTCTTCAGTGCTATGTCAACTGTCAACCAGTAACAAATATCTGGTCAAAGATGGGGCTCGACTCTAAGACTGTCAGTCACAATGTGACTTTGACTCTGTGGTTACGGCAAAATTAATTACTTGCTGACACACAATATGATACAGAAATACAATATTCTGGTACAATGTCTCATTAAGTCTGTGACTGTGGCCTTGTAACAGACTTATTATATTTATACATATATTCCCTAGAATTAAATTAATAATACCAGTATATAATTAATTTGTTAATACCATGCATAAAAATTGTAATGGTTACCATTTTGGTTGAAGAACTCAACAAAGAAACTGCAGGATGATGGGCCTAAGGCCGATGGCACACCAAGGTAACTGACGCCTGCAACGCAACCGCGATTTCTGAGAATTGTTGTCAGCCTGAGTTTAACACATGTTATTAGGTGGTAGCTGATGACACTGAATGTGCAGAAGCTGGAGATGGAAGTGGAGTTGGAGTCATACTCTCTGATCTTGGATACTGACTGTAATTTTGGGTGTAATATCCATAAGAATATTTCCCCATATCAGCTTCGAAAATAACATTATTAATTGCATGCTTCACTTGTGCTAAGGTGCTTGGGTCATATTTTCTGAGCTCATTGGCGATATGTTGGCCATATGTAAAATACGGGTCTGTCAGTGTGGTTACACTGGACTTGAGGATATGAAACGCTTCCAGCAGCACTGCTTGATTTTCTTCTTTAGCTCTGGCACTGGCAAAAGGATCTGTGCGGGCCCTTTTACGTTGAGGTGCTTCTGGCACTTCTGGTGTTCTGGAAGATGTTATTCCTTCAACAGCAACAGCAAGCTCTTCATTTTCATTTTCGAGCCCCGAGGTTTCGGCACTATGTGATGTTCCAGGCTCCTGAAAAGATCATAGATCTAAAATATATTTATTTTTTACACGTTCAAAGTTCAGATGAAGAATCGCTAGCTACTGCACAAGAATTTGAGAAAACATGGGACTTCCCACATGCCATAGGTGCTATGTATGGGAAACAAGTTATGTTACAAGCACCTATGAACTCTGGCACAAAATATAATAACTACAAGCATTTTTTTCAGCACTGTCTTATTTGCTCTAGTTGATGCGGACTACGGTTTTCTCTATGTTGATGCAGGCTGTCAAGGCAGAATATCTGATGGTGGTGTCTTAAAAAATACTCAATTATTTAGAAAACTAGAAGAAAAATCGTTGAAAATTATGCTACTGATGAAACTTCAAGTATCCTATGCAGTTGAACTTCCCTAATATATCTTGAGTGACAGAGCATTCGCATTAAATGAATATACTCTAAAACCATTTGAAGGAAACCCTGATAGAGGTTCTATTGCAAGAGTATTTAATTATAGACTATCAAGAGCATGCAGAGAGGTCAAAAATGCTTTTGGTATTCTAAGTTCTGTTTCTATGGTTTTAAGAAAACAAATATTAGAACCAGAAAAAGCCTGAAAGATTGTTATGGCTACTTTGTACTAACATAACTTTTTGAGAAAAAACAAGTTCACACAAGGTAGCCTCCATATGGAGAACAAATGGACAACTAATTCCAGGTCGATGAAGAAATGATAATGAAGTGTCACTCCAACCACTTCTGAGAAAACAATGCCAAGGAAAAACGTTTGCACCTTGCAAGACATTATGTTGAAAATTGGGCAGTTCCTTGGCAATATAATTATTAACCCTAACATTACCAAGAAATGTTTTGTAATGTGGGTTACCAGGGGTGGGTAAAAATTGCACTCCAAATAACATATAAATATATTATTCATAGTGTAAAAATGTATTATGTTAGACACGAACAGAACGAGTATGAGAAGTGGGAGATTTCATTCATTGCACCAATATGTAGCAATAAGAAAGATGGGCAATTTTTCCCACCCTTAGTAATGCTGGATTAGAAATATTGTAATGAAAAATACTTACATCAGGCAAAGTATCTACAGTATCGGTGAGAGTATTTTTATCGGCCATAAAGTCGAATTCATTGAATGCGAACCACTTGGATACGTAAACAGTACCTGCAGCTGTAAAGAAACAATAAATTATTTGTGTTTTAGCATAATTACAGATAATACAGTGGTATACTAGCAATTTTAAAAATATGTTCGTACCAGTACCAGTTATGTGAGACTTCTTAATTCGGGACTTTTCTCGTCTGTATGAAGCCAATAAACTTGTCATCCTCTTTTTTAAATCCTGAACTGGCATTTTCATTTCGTCACCTATGTCCTTCCATGCGTCCTCGCGTATACTTTTGTTATAGTAATTAGCACTTTTTGAATTCCACAATACCTCTTTAGATTTATAAAGCTGTATGAGAGTTAGACATTTTTTATTCTCCATTGTGTCGGGGAAAATACGTCGTTACGCCACACCACCTTCTCAATCGCTAGAACATAAGACTGCACAGGACCACAGGACACTGATCGACCTGATCGACACTGATATCCTCTTGCCGCGGGACAAGGAATCGCTCCGATGGCTCCGATTTGGCTCGACACGCAAGTTCGCGCGCGGCAGCCACACGCAGTCTTCTCACAATTGCGTTGCCGCGTGGTTTCCTAGTATCAACTGTTACATTACGCGCGTCAATGATTCATTTGTTTCTTATGGTGGCGCGAAAGGTTGCAGCTGTTAATTTTGTTTTTGTGCAGTTGAGCAAGAGCCTGGTATATATGACAAATGCCACTCAGACTTTGCTAGGCGGGACAAAATAGATTTGGCTCGGGAAAGAATTTCACATGGGACGAAGGCGTCTGGGTCTAGGTTAAGTTTTCGAAAGTTCTTCAGCTTAGATTGTCACATAGTAACGAATGCACCCAATGAAGAAAGCAGTCTTCTGGGATTTGGCACCGTGTATATGTGGTGTTAACCGACGTTTCGGAGGAACGTATCGCCTCCATCTTCAGGGTAGAAGAAAAAATATATAAGAAATCTGCAAGCGAAGAGACCGTGAGAACCGGTAGTCTGCTTTTACCGGTTCTCACGGTCTCTTCGCTTGCAGATTTCTTATATTTTTTCTTCTACCCTGAAGATGGAGGCGATACGTTCCTCCAAAACGTCGGTTAACACCACATATACACGGTGCCAAATCCCAGAAGACTGCTTTCTTCAACTTATTATATAGTCACCCTTCTTCCACATTACATGGTTCGGTTATATATGGTCAGCTTCAGGTGTCTTCTATCTTGCTAAAATTGTTGCACTGTGTGTCAAAAATTCGTATCCCGTATGAACTCGTAATTTACTGATTAAAATAAACTGACCATAATTCAAACAAATTAATTAACATTCCAATATTTCCCTTATGGTCGTCGTCGTCCTCTCTCCTCACGCCGTCTCGACCGTTCTCAATTACTATCATATTATGACAGGATCAGTATTGTTATCTTCCATTACAGAAGGCAAGTGTACCAAATTAAAAAATTCATTCATGCATTACGTCGGACGAACATACTCGCTTAAAATTATGTGAGCAACAAATCAGACAAAAGTTTTCTCAGTGTGAGCCAGCTAAAATGGAAACCAGTTGCCTGCTTGAAATCGGCGATTCTTCTCGGAAATTGCGATTGCATTAGGTTTCCAGTTTCCATGGTGTGCCCTCGCCCGAAGATGCCCATGATGCCCACACAGCTCACATCGCTCACATCTAACCGGTGCAAAGGTCAAAGAACCTCTGACAAAGTGAAGAGGACATTTGGCTTGAACGTATCTATATATTCAATCATAGGTACCAATTTGATATGTCCAATTGTAATTCTCTACAGCTATGGATGAAATAAATAATAATAATAAACTCCGTCCGCTGACGTGTGGTGAACTAGACCCATAAGCTAGGGTACTGAAGAGTAGATTTTACGGTTTTTACCGATTGAGCTCTCGGAAGAGCCTGCGGCCATGGTGCAGGTCTGTGCACAATATTCGTGACGTCACAGAGGCGGCGTTGACGGGCTTGGCAGGATCTCCATGCGAGCTTTTGCGTACTTTGAAAACGTACTTTAGTATGTTGCAGGAATGAGTAATATGGATACAATCTGTCGTCTTTGTGGAACATCAGAAGGGCTGAAATTAAAAATTTTTGATACTGAAATGGATCATGTGTCTAAAATTCACCAGTTATTACCGATAATGGTAAGAGGAATGAGAGTGGTTGTAATGAATCTAGTGTAACCAAAAATTTACTAACCTAGTGCTGACAGCTTCACATCGACCGTCGAAGTGGCTGCCTCTGACAAAGCTACCCAGAATATGAACGAATATGAATTTTGCTATTATGTAAACAACATAAATCTGATACAAATATGCCCTCTAAAGATAGCAAAGTATTATTTATTATTATCAGTTTGCTGCTACTGCTACTGCCGAGCAAGTTGGCTTAAGCAGTACCAATTCACATTTGTATTTAGGGAGCAAAATGGTTTGAATTGAAGCCTGGACATTAACCTGACTATGGTTTTTGTGGTTTTCCTCAGTCCCTCCAGTCAAATTCCAGTATAGTATCTTAAACTGTGCTTCAGCTTGTCCATCTACATCTTTTCGAAATAATTTTTCAGTATCGTCAAGTTATTTGATGGCAGTAGTTCAAGTTACCGACCATTGTTAAATATATTGTATGTATGTCATCATGCATGGTGCTTAATTGAACACAAATACAATATATTTTATCACAATAGGGCATGATTTTCATATCATGAAAATCATTAATGTATGTAATTTATTAATTTTTTACTGCTTCTGTTATTCTAACTTGACTTGTTCCATATCCAATGGTGTCTCACCTGTACTGGATTTATGGAAGGTAAATAAAATTCAATTCAATTACATTACATTACATTCAGTCTAATCATTGTCTTCAAATGAACTACTACAGAATGTTATCTTAATACTGTTTATGGCAGCTTTATAACCCCATCAGTTCTGTGAGGTGTAGGAAACAAGATATTAAAGCCTCTCCTTTATTAATTCCAATCTGATTTTCATGTTATATATCCATTTAACATAATTGAGGGTCTAGTGACCAAACCATGGCAGTAAAACAATTACATATTGTGTAAATACCACTATGGAAATTAGGTTAGGTTAGATTTAGTACAATTTTAAACTTAAAATTTAATTTATTATTTGATATGTTTTAAACTGTTTGGACCAATTAAAAACCAAGTTAATAAAAAACTGAAACTCGTCTCAGTAATGTATCATCAGCAATCATTTATGTGCCTTATAATAATGAATATTTGAAATACTGGTTATACTTCTGTTCTGCTAGATTCTAAAGGTTTCTGACAGTGGTGTGTAACGATGAGCATTTGTGGGTTTTTGGACTTTGTCTATTATCTGGTATTCCAAAAACACAGCATTTTGGAAACTGGACATGTTTCTGATGTTTCTGTCCTTGGGTTGGAGGTGTCTTCTTTTTATGGTTCATTAGAAAGAGATAACCTCAGTCACTTAACCTAGTCAGCTCTTTTTAGTGAACCCAACCAAGGACATGCCTCCCACCCTTTTACTAGTTTTATAGAACTGGTATGATGACATTTGAAATTGTTTTTATCATACTTTCTTTCTGATACAACATGATGAAATTTGTTTCAAAACACTGAGTGTTCAATAGTAATTTTGCAAAAACTTTTATTTATTTGGATTTCCTTTCTTTGTATTATTTCAGGTTCATGAAAGAGATCCATGGACTAAATTAATTTGCCATAGGTGTGCGTACAAACTGCAGGAGTTTTATGATTTTCGAGAATTGTGTGTGAAGACAGACACTTACTTGAAGATACAAGTATCATGGGAACCCCAGACACCGGCCACTTCTGTTACCTCACAACATGTACCTGTAAACCCAGTAAGATAACAATGGATAGACAAATACTTGAATCAGTAGCCCCCTGTTTCCACAGTGCAGCATTTACTTACATTCCTTTCTAACTCTGTGGCCAAATCCATGATTCCAATTTGTATACATAAATGTTAAAATATCAAGCTGTGCTACTATTTACAATTCCAGTTCCAGGCCTTGGGTATAATTTAATAAATTATCCCATCAGATACTGGTACGACCAGAATTGTCAGGTAAATGGTTACCAGCATTGCTAGTACTTTGTTACTATTTGAGACAGTGCTACAGTGTATAATTTATGTACCCATGCTATTTTCATTATGTATTTCTAAATGATTAATTAAATATATTTCCAATTCAGAATACAGTTAAAATTATACATGAGAGTGTCCTAGGGCATCAGTACAGTTGGCAGTTACTGGAGATATAGGTGTGTAAATAACTGACAACCAGCAGTTTATCTATTATATAACTGCCACATGTATAAAGGTATTGAGTAGGAGTCTGCATATAATTATATGCAGACTCCTAATTAATTATAATTAATGGGTCAGTCATAGCCATATACAGCCATCCAGTTTGTATTTATGGGAGGTTAATGTGATTGCCCGTCCAGAAGACAGTTATTCATCCCAGAGATCAAAATACATTGATATAGGATATGTCCATCAAAGTTATTCATTATAGAAATTACAATAATGATAATAAATATTAACTTATTAGAAATAAAACAATAAAATCTAAGATTTTCTGACAAATTTTTAAGTTATATTTTAGCGTCCTGTTGCACTGATTTATGTCCATGATTTATTCTGACCGTCTTACAGTGCATACATTTATTCACCTTACTCTTCTCTCTTGCACTACATGTTTCAGCACTAAAGTGCCATCTTCAGGTGCTTTT